GGCCCTCCATGGTCCTCCGGATATCCTAGAATTTTAGGGAATCCGGATCCGGAATCGTCGGATCCGTGAAAAAAAACTTTATCGGATCCATGACTTCTAGAAATTCGACCAAAAATCAGATTATCCGCGGATATAGGGATCCGGATCCGAAATTAATATTAAAAATAATTAAAATAAATAAAAATATATTTTAAAAAATTATTAGTTAATATTTTAAATGATATTTTTTCATTATAAATATAATTTATTATAAAAAGAACTAAAATCAATTTTTATATATATTTATTTATATAAAATTAGCTTAATAGATATATAATATATATGTTTTTAATATATTTAATGCGTCCGAATCCGGATATCCGGAACTTAAAATTTTGTTATCTGGATCTGGATCCTCTTTTCACGGATCCTAGATTTTACTATCTTTATCCGGATCCGGACTCCTCGGATATCCTAATTTTCAGAACGATTACAAACGGATAACAGATCGGATCTCGAATCCTGGATAATAGTTACACCCCTGATACTAACCAAATCGACTGACGTCTCAATAGGAATATTAAAAACATTTTAAGATTAGTATGGGGCACGTGCCCCAACTTCTTATACGACCTCTCCTTTCCGTCATACGGTCCAGCTAAAGAGGCTTCCATCAAACACCAATGCTGCTTCCTCTTTGTCTCTCTTACAAGTACTAAGGTACTAATAAAAAGTTACTAATCATGCATGTTTTTTTTTCCCGTAAAATTGAATTTTTTTTAAAGTCTACTTAATTTTAAATAAGAATATTTTAAAAATAAGAAATTCCAGAGATTGATTGATGAAGATCTGAGATCAGAGAAGTTGGATTTTCTATTACTTGTGCTTGCCTCTGGTCTCTTATTGGCCGAGCTGAGACGAAGAGCATCGATCGAATCTGATAGTACCATGTCAAGTGTCTCCTGAACAAGTTGCCAAGTCTTTGACTAAGCATCTTCATCCAGCTAAAAGTTTGTTTGAAGAACCTCGTATATCAGAATCCGAATGGTCTGGAATCAATAGTTCGAATGGCAAGAAAATTTGAGGCTTAAGACTCTGCTTGATAGATAAAAATCTTGAAGCAGGAGAGAGATGCGTTCAAGGAAGATTGTGAGAGACATAAAATGAGGCAGTTTGAGAGGAGGGATCCATCTTTTGGAGGATACAAGAGATTATGTCAAGGATCCGTGTTGATTCTTGCTGTTTAAGATCGACATCTATAACGTCATAAAGATGAGCTGATGGATTATGTGATACTGAAACAGCAATCAAAAGAGTTTCCTGAGTCCTTGGGCTGGATTAAAGAGCAGATGGATTCAATGTTTGTATCAAATGCTGATGGATTCAATGAATGAATGGTCTTTGCCGTCAGGAAGCACTAGTTCTGCTTTGCTTTTCAACGGATGGTAGAAAATGGTCATCAGGCTGACATTGTTACTTACGGGACAAATGTAAACGGAATGTCTCGACCTTGAATCTTCTTAGGAAGATGGAGGAAAGCAGCATCAAAGCCAATGTTGTAATCTATATTGATCGTCTTTGCCAAGATGGACATCTTACTGATGCTCAAAATCTTTACAGTACGTGTATATGATTACCTATTCTTCAATGATCAATGGATTTTGTAAACATCTTTACAGTACGTGTATATGATGACGCAAAGCGCATGCTTGATTTGATAGTTAGCAAGGTATTCTCATAGACGGATGTTGTAGGGCTAAGAGGGTAGATGATGGAATGGAGAAGAGGATTTGTTGCTCGTTTCTGCAATAATGGGAAACTAGAACAGGCATTGGAAATGTTTTAAGGTTATTCAGAATAGTAACATGGTGTTACTAAAGCCAAAAGTATCAAGTGTCCAATTTTAACATCAATGTTACATATCAAAAAGGATCAAGTTTATTCATAATACTTATTCGAACATCAATGTGCATTTTTTGTTGATCCCATTGATGTTAACATGTACGTCTGAGCCGTTTCTTGAGCGTAGAGCCAATATACAATCTCAAACTCTCAATGACGGTTGAAATGTGATTAAGAAGGCTGATTGAACTCCTTGCTTGTTCATAAGGAGATAGGGTCTAATTGTTTCTTGTGATTAGGTGTTGATATGTTTGACAAGATGAAAGAGAGACACTCAGAGAAAAGTCTTAAATTTTCACAAGTTTGAAGTTTTCCTCAAGGATTAGAAACCATGGTCTGGTCTGATTTGGGACTAAAGAGAATAGCTCATGTTTCCATTTCATTTCATGGACCAAAGTCTCAAGCCAGCTGAACATTTCGCCATTGTGTACTTGAAACAAACATATCTGGATACAGTCAACTCTTTTGGGTGATAATAATTATTGAGCTTTTACTTGAAACACACATCGAGACACAAACATCATACTTAAGTAATAAACAAAAGTCAGATCGCGTTTACTAGAACATCCAGACGCAAAACACCATAATAAAGTAATAAACAGGCAGATCACGCTTAACATTCAGACACAAAAAGCATAACAAGTAATAGAAAGAAAGGTCCAGTAGCTTTCTACTCGGCAGTCATCGCAGCGTCCCTACCTAATATGAACAACGAAAGTTTTTTACTTACTTTGTTACTAAGAATCAAGAATCAAGAATCAGGAAGAGTGAATTGATGTACCTACGAGATGACGAGCGCCATAAATACGACGCCTGTGGACAGTGGGGTTAGCCGGTGTAGTAATAATCTTAGCAACAACTTTGCGTCCTTGTATGGAGCTCACACCGAGTTCCAGGGCCTTCTGTGCTGCATTTTCTCCCTCAAGATACACCAAAGCTGCATCGGTGCTGTATAAAAATCAACAAAGACGAGTCTTTAGTTAGCAGCAATGTTAAAAATGCTTGTGAGCTAATTGGGACAGGAAGAAAACCTCTCGAGAACCATGACTTTTCTGACCCTTCCACATGACGAGAAATGTTCACTCAATGAGTTCTTGATATCCTCAATATCAAGGGAAGTGTCAAATCCTCTAACACGTATGACAGGAAGACTGCAACAATAATATTGGATTCCATCAAAACATCACCATCCTAAAAGATACTAGAAAATCTCCAAAATACTTGTAAAGATGAGAGTTTACGGACCGGCTTGCAAACTCGGGAACCGGAAGAGGCTCAACCTGAGGCTTCCATCCTCCCAAGTCACTTCCATTAAGTTGCAACGCCTTGTCTACTGCAGACTTTCCCACAAAATAGATAAAAGCACATCTGCCGAGCTTGTTACTACTGAGTTGGCGAATATAAACATCAATGATCTCTCCACACGAAGAGAAATGTTTTCTCAACGTCCTCACAACACCATCATGAGCAAGCCCAGTGTCATATCCCGTAACCGTAATCCTCCCAGTCTCACTGCAATCAAATTTGATATATATATTATCAACGTCACAAGAACAACACATCTTATTACAGATACATTAAAACAAAATCAATTTACCGGATGATTGGAATGTCTGCAGGATCATTACCCTTCACTTCAAGCAACGTCATCCTCTAAAGCTACAAAAGATCTAACTCAGAAATTCTACCATTCAGAGGATAACAAGAAAGCCATAAGGATAACAAAAATCTTACTTTGTTAACACGGCAGACAAGTTGAGATGAGCTGCTTGCTAGGTTTTCCAGCGGCAGAGGCCATGTAGATTTTGGTCTGAACATGGTATTTATACTGTGTCATTGCAGATTTGGGCCTTGATTAGATCTCGGCCCATTAAGTCTCATTTTAATTGGGGTTTCTTGCGTGTATTATCATCACCTTGCAATAGCTTCTGACTCGGTTGCAAGAAAAAGTTAGGCATGACTAATGATTTGTTTTGTCAAAGATGATTACATTAATCTTTTGAATGGTTGATATATAATTCAAGTCATTTTCGGTAGACTTTGAAGTGAGTCAATCTAAAATAATCACTTAC